ACAGCCGAACGATCAGCGGGACGGAGGGGGGCTCGGAGGAACAAATATTCAAGTGCGCATTTGTTTGGTAATGCGTAAAGTCTGGAAGAAATGTGACTTGTGTGCACATTTAAAGCTCCTATATTGCGCAAAATCGACTCTTGGGAGCTTTAAAGCGTGTTAGAATGTTGTTACCTCCTCAAAAAGAGACCATGTTGTGTTTTGTTTCATTCACACGTTTGAATACTCCCAGTGTTGGGAAGGTGACTTTTAAAATGTATTCCCCTACAGATTACAGATTACACACCCCAAAATGTAATTTGTAACATAATCCATGAAATGACTTAAAGTGAGTAACGTAATCTACTAGATACTTTGGATTACTTGATTTGCTGTAGAGAAGTAAAGACGAGGATAACTTCACATAAGATGTTTTGTGTGCTAAAAGAAAATAAAAGATAAGATAAAAGAAGACTTTACTGAACCATATTGAAAATATTATTGATAAAAGAGGAGACACGGTCTGCGCGGCATGTTTAGTCCTGTTAAATCCTGTTTTAGATCTAGTTTAGACCTGGTTTAGACCTGGTTTAGACCTGGTCTTAGTCCTGGTTTAGACCTGGTTTTAGTCCTGGTTTTAGTCCTGGTTTTAGACCTGGTTTTAGTCCTGGTTTAGACCTGGTTTAGTCCTAGTTTAGTCCTGGTTTTAGTCCTGGTTTAGACCTGGTTTTAGTCCTGATTTAAACCTGTTTTTAGTCCTGGTTTAGACCTGGTTTAGTCCTGGTTTTAGTCCTGGTTTAGATCTGGTTTAGATCTGGTTTACACCTGGTTTAGACCTGGTTTAGTGCTGGTTTAGTCCTGGTTTAGACCTGGTTTAGACCTGGTTTTAGTCCTAGTTTAGACCTGGGTTCAGTCCTGGTTCAATCCTGAATTAGTCCTGGTTTAGACCGCCATGTAATCCCATTTATTTCAACAAAGTAACTATAATCCAATTACCTGTCATGGAAACAGTAACTGTAACAGTTACTCATAATTTGTACTCTGATTACGTAACTCTGGTACATGTAATCTGGTACTCCCCAACACTGAATACTCCTGCTTTATTATTAGTCTGTCTATATCCACAAAGCTCCAAATGTTCTGTTCCAGTTTTCAAATGAACAGCTCCTTCTACATTTCGTTCATTAGAGATCGGCAATTCCAGAGGCTGAAATGATCCAAATGACTCTCCTGAAGGTGTATGGAGTTTTAAAACACAATGGAGCACTTCCTGTATTACCACATGACCTCACAAGGTGGAAGTGAGTGTTTTCAGTTTGAGAGAAGAACAAAACTCCAGGTAGGTCTTTGTTTGTGATGAGGAAACATTATTATAACACAGCAGAATACAATAGTGTCGTATGGGACCTTTGAATAGTCACGAATTTGAGTTCCTCTTATACGCACCATCCCAACGATCAGAGGTGAGTACAGTAGTTACAAATTGTACTCAAGTAAGAGTCAAAATCATATTACTTAAGTAGAAGTACATAGTAGTGGTCCAAGAAATCCCTTGAGTAAAAGTCTCGACGTGAGAGCTGATTTCCAATTTGAAGTGAATGTGAAACAGGCTGAATGCACAGAATCAAATATTTTCAAATGACAAACACAAACATGAGGAAAAACTAAATTATACCTGAATGAGCGGTGCAAGAAACACAAAAGTTCAAATCATTTTGTATTTTCACATAAAGCTTTTGTCACTTTTAGACTTAATCACAGTGAAGAGGAAGCACAACTTTTACTCACGTCAAACTAAATATTAAAGTAGGAGTAAACGTATGCAGCTAGAAGTACTCTGAAAAGTATAATTTTGTGTAAAAGTTACTCAAGTAAATGTAACTGAGTGAATGTGAATTTACCTTTCAGCAAAGTAGAGTTGTCAGTAGTGAAATGTGTCTCTTGCCTCCATCAGCATTCTAAAATTCACATTCTAAAATCTGAAATCTTCCAGTTGTTAATCGCTATGGCAATGGTCCTTATTTTTCATTATTCAACCCGTGGATACTCAAATACAGAGGTGACATCAGAATCATGTAGTCTTAAGAAGCATTATGTCGCCTGTCAGGAATGTTACTTATTTTAGAGCAGCCTTTTCATCTTTTACTACTACAGTCCCATGTGATGTTTTTTGTCATTCTCTGGAAAGTCCTGGCCTCTGGTTGGACCTTTTATCCTCTCAGTCTATGGTATGGAAATGTGTCTAAAATCAGTGTTGGGGAGTTTACTTTTAAAATGTATTCCCCTACAGATTACAGATTACATATCACAAAATGTAGTTTGTAACATAATCCATTAAATTACTTAAAGCGAGTAATGTAATCTGAATACTTTGGATTACTTGGATTTGGTGTAGAGAAGCAAAGACGAGGAAATCTTCACATAAGATGTTTTGTCTGTTAAAAGACAATGAAAAAGCCCAGACTTTACTGAACCAAATTAAAAATATTATTGATAGAAGACGAGGAAACACGGACCACACAGCAGGATTTAGTCCTGTTTTAAATCCTGGTTTAGTCCTGGTTTTAGACCTGGTTTAGTCCTGGTTTTAGACCTGGTTTTAGACCTGGTTTAGTCCCGGTTTAGTCCTGGTTTAGACCTGGTTTGGACCTGGTTTAGTGTCTGGCAATGAGTGGAATTACTGAGAAAAAAAAAAAAAAAAGGGATATAGCCTGAAATATAAAAACAGGAAAATACCACTGTGTAATCTATTTATTTCAACAAAGTAACTGTAATCCAATTACCACTCATTAAAACAGTAACTGTAACTGAATACAGTTACTCATAATTTGTACTCTGATTACATAACTTCGGTACATGTAATCTGTTACTCCCCAACACTGTCTAAAATAAATATGTGTATTCATCCCAAAATCATGTCAGAATTACACATATAGAAAAATACAAACTTCCTTTGTTTTGAAGGAATAAATATTAACATAAAGTGGTTCTTATGCTGTGTTTTCTTGTATCAGTGGGACTATGCGTTTTTTCTCTGAGACACATTTTGACTCTGTGCAAATATTAGTTTATTCATAAAATGGTCTAAAATTGTTTGTGAAATGTAAAATTTTCACTAGTCTCCATTATTATCAATCCTCCCCAGAGTATTTGAGTCTTATTTGGATGAGGGACTCCTCTTGTTTGTTTCCAGAGAAAGGTTAACTATCATTTTCCACAGTGGCATAAAACTCCTCTGTCTTTATGGAGAATGTTCCACAGTATGCTTTTAATCCTGTAAGACCTGACCAAAGAAATCATGGAATCTGAAGTCATTATAAAACCCAGGGTGTAAAATCAAAACAAAACAAATGCAGTCTGACCCATCGGATGTTGTGTGGATGACTCTTCACATTTGCAGTAGTCTAAAGGTAGACAGTGAAAATATTGATATATCGTATCGTTTAATGTGATGATACGGTATCGATATTGTGAGCTGCTGTAACGATATATCACCAAGAGTATTTTTGTATAATTTACTAAATTATTTTCTTACATCTACAGCAGACATGTCCAAACTATGCCCCGTGGGCCAAATACAGCCCTCTGACAATTTTTTCTTGGCCCTCAGGCTTCCATGACAATTGGCCCAAATTACCTTGCATCAATGAAAAATTTATTGAAAATCTATCTTGATAAAGATAATATGTAATATTTAGTGTGTGGTTTAAGGATCTTTGCATGAATAAAGACTGATGGCTCATTCTAATGTGGTAAACATGCACATATTTCAATAATTCACTGTAATAAGCACCAGTCTACGGCCCTCGACCAGCCCTCTGCTTCGTCTGTCTTTACATATGTGACCCTTGATGAAAAAAGTTTGTACACCCCTGATCTACAATTTTGTTGTTTGTTCAGAAGAAGGAAACTTGTTTATGCTACACATTTGACATTTTCACTGTTTTGGTGATTAAAATGTTTGTGTTTCATATGAACTTTGCACAAGAAGTGGTTTAACAAACACTTTTAGTATCACAGCCATGATTTAGCCTTTATTTTTTACGCAACTGTATCGAATTGATTTGAAATATATCGTATTGAATCATATCGAGTCGTAAACTCACTGTATTGAGGTATGTATCGTATAGGCAACTTCTGAATGATACTCAGCCCTGGTAGGTGGACATTGGTAGATTTACTGTATCTGATCATAAAACATTACATGATAAAATAATATACACTTTTTATTTAAACTTGCTTAGGTTTCTATCTACATTTTGTGCGTGCGTAACCTTTACTTTGATCTATCACTTTCATTTTGATCATACATTTCTTTAGTAATATGAAGCTTTAAGTGGATCCTGTTTACCTCAGCTCACCTTCATCTTATTTGAACAGATTCATGTTACAGAATCAACAACTGCTGTTCACCATTTAGCCTTTAGAGGGCGACATTCTGCAGGCGACGTACAAACACAAGTTTGTATTATTTTTTATAAAATTGTATAAAACCCCTCTTGAAAATGAATATAAGTAATATTCAGGAGAAAACATTATAATTAAATTATTTGATTGATTTGAGGCCTTTTGGCAGTTTTCAGATTCAAGAATATGAATATCAAAGAATCAAAAATCAGATACTAACTGATACTAAAACTAAAATTTCAAAACATATGGAAACAAAAAATTGAAAATAGATACTCAATTTAACAAGTATCGATACTGAAAAAAGTCCATGGCAACATTTGACTTTTCCTGGATATTTTGAAGGTGATCTTGAACTTTATCAACGCCAAGGACCAGATGGTAACTTAAAGAAAGCACGAGTATTCTGTACACTGTAGTCTTTTTTTTAAAAGTATCATATCGAGCCTTTTCCTTGGTATCAATATAGAGTTTGAAATTATAGTATCATGACCACACTACAAGCAAGAAATGATTGAAATGAAAACAAGTGATCTGCTACTGTGTCTGTGTGTGTGTGTGTGTGTGTGTGTGTAAATGCGGTGAGGAAAGAAAAGCAGACCAAAGCCTTGAGCTCTTGAGTTGTGGATCTTACTGTCCACTGTAGCATGTGTTTATTCAAGCACTGTTAAGACAATATAAAAACAAACATCAGTCTTCACCATCACACGGCAGGACACTCTGAGGCCTTCTGTCAGGACACGGTCAGGAGAGGGACAACGGCCCGTCACAACCTAAGCACATCACGCAATATACACTTTCTTTAATTCACGGGTCATTATATAAAGGATTAAGAACTGTGCTGTAGCTAGATTGATACTTTGCAGCTTTCGGGATGGTGATAACTGTAGGCACTGCTCTGTCTGAAGGTCTGGTAATCAAGTTAGACTTAGGTTGAGTTTTGTTTTAACACAATCTGACCAGAAACGGTTGATTTCGTTGGAACTATGACAGGTGAGCTGATTTGTGCTGTTAAACAAATCCTTCTCAAATAACGTTACAGTTACAAGCCAACAGTTTTTCAGTTAGTCGCTCTCACCGTTTCGTTGAAAAAAAAACAAAAAAAAACTGGATCATATATGCTCGGACTGATCACAAGCTCCTGAAAATGTTTTGTTTCAATCCATTTTGAGTTTTTTCAGATTCATTTACATTTTTTTAGCAGTGTTTGCGAATACGTGCATTGTGTCACCATGGCAACTGCTGAACATTCCACCACAGACACATGCATGTAGAACCTCCCAGAGAAATGGCACTGCAAAGTATCAGTACAGTATCATAGGTCAGATGTTTTCTAAGCAGTTCATAGTCAGTAATCATTAATTAGCACCCAGGTCATTTCTTAAAGATGCAGTACGTCACTTTTTTTGGTTAAAGTTCCGCTACACCAGTTTGACATGATTTTATTGTTTTCCTAGAATGTTCCACTGTATGGCATTAAACTTATTTACATGACAACAAGGAGACAGTGCCACAAGGCCAAGTTACAGGTCAGATCTGTGGAGAGGCAAGCAGGCGCTCAGCAAGAACTCATATAGATTGGAGAGAAACTTGATGGAAACAGTTAATGCCGTACTGTGGAACATTCCAGAGAAAGCAAGAACGTCAACACAGAGATGAGCAGTTTGTGGACCTTAAAAGTTACGCAGTGCATCTTTAAAATGGAAAAAAAATATAAAAGTTTTAATTGACATTGTTAGAGTTTTCACTTGGGCATTTCAGCTCTATTTTGGGTTTAATAAAAATACACAAAGCTGTCCACCATAAGGTCCAACGCAGTTTGAACTACACACCGACAGCTGAAGAGATTAGTATTGCAACATGACATTTTCAATATCAAAATATACAAAAATGACACTTCCACCAGCTCGTTTCTACATACACTCAAGGCTTCTGGTTCAAATTCTTCATTCTCGGTCAACCTTTTTTTTTTTTTTTCCTCCAAAGAATAATTTAACAAAAATGACACACTCAAACACTCTATATGTAAACAGTTGAACAGCCAAGGGAGGCGGTTAGTCACGTACTGTACAGAGGAGGGTTAACAGCTGGACAGGCACGATACGACGAGAGCTAGACTGCAAGTTAGGAGTCGGACGGAGGGATGAGCAATGAGGAGAGAAGAGAGACAAAGAGAGACAGACGGAGAAAGAGAGAGAAGGCCGCGTCTCAGTACGGTTTCCTCGCTCCTTGATTCTGCAGGAAATGGGTGAGGAAGTCCCGCCCACAGAGGAGACGCGGGGAGGAGAGAGGATCTAAACTCCTCACTGAGACCAGTAAAGTTTGATTCTTTTATCTGGTGTCTGCTGCTGAAGCCTCCCTCATGTTTACTCCATCCACCGTGGTTTTCTTTGGGACACCACTTAATATGACAAATTTGATCGACAGCTGAAAAAAGGAGGATCGAATCGAGGAGAAGAATCAAGGAGAAAGAAGTGAGGAACGAGAAATGAGACACGGCCAAAGACAGAGACAGATAAATAGAGACCATGGATCTATAATAAGAACCGGATAAGAAATTCGCTCTGTGTTCCGGGGGGAGATCGACTAGTGGCCGCTCCTGGTACTGCAGCTCAGGCCCAGAAAGAACTGCCCCTTAGAGCAGCTTAGCATTTTTAAGGCAATCAGGGCGTTCACAGCTTTCACAAAAGTCTGATTCTTCTCTATTTTCATAACATGAACTTTAGAATTTTTAAAAATCGTCATCCTTAAAGCGCCTAAAAGCACTGTACTAACCCCACACTGGCTCTGCTCTAGCAGCTTCGCTCTGATTGGTCAGAACTGGTCACATGGTGCGCATTTCTGTCACACGGGTGAAAGGAGCGAGTCTATATTGAGGAAATATATGTGGAAGAGAAACATTTGGGGGAGGGGAATTGGCGCCAGTGAGCACAGAGCATTGAAAACAACACAAAGCCCAGTTTTGGTTCATCTTCCAGATCTTACTATACTTCCATGAGACAGAGAGAGACGAAGAGAGATGGAGAGAGAGAAGAGGGCACCAGGGAGAGTCTACACCTGTACGGGAAATGTAGGGAGAGGAGAAGAGACCACTGCATAAAAGCTGTAGTTTTAAATTTGTAAAGAAAGTGAGATACTGATTGATTTGAGCATGTATCGATCCTGCAAAAAAAAAAATCACATTAACAGACAAAATTTGAGCTTTAGTGTGATTCTGAACTCCCTCTGCAGGTGTGGTCTTGTGAGTGCAGTTTGGGTCAGACACACAGAGATACATAATAGTTTTGAGAGCTTTTACCACGCCCTCCTTTCAACTAAATGTCTTTAATCGACTACAGAATTATTTGAACAGTTCTATTCATCTCATATGTTCTTGGCACGGCTTTGTTTTATGCAGTGAATATTTGAAATCTCATTCCTACACTTCCCATAGCAGTTTCACGTGTGGTTTGGCATTGTCGAGATCTAACATGCACAAAGGTTTATATATGTACAAGGACAATACCTCTTACAACAGTTTAAAAAAAAAAGAAATCGATCTTTGGCACCACACAAGTCTTCATCCCTCTTCATTCTAAACGTGGATCTAAAATGCACAACAGTTGGACAAACCCGCGACAATGTAAAGTCCAGACAGTCACTGAAACTAAACGAAAACCTGTCCACGCACTATAGCTTTGTGCAGCTTCTAAAGTCCACACGCGTCTCCAAGGCCTTCACCACTAAACCAATAAAAAGGCTTAAATACGTTTCTTCATTAAAAACACGACTATTTACAAATTGGATGCCACAGTGATTTCTGAACCGAGTGAACAAGCAAAAACTAGAACTATCTGGCGTTTGGCAGTCATTGTTCAATCCGAGATTTTAACTGCGATTCTCGACGCTTGTGTTGAGTTGAAACTGGGTGTGGTTTGGACACATGCAAGGCCTTTGTAGAGTTAAACAGTAGCAGGTCGTAGAGAACAGCTCCATTTTGTTGAGTTATTTCTGACATTTCGCCCTCTGCTTCCCGTCTTGCTTCGCGTTTGAGTTTGACTGTTGTGTAGGCGTAGAAGTAGTCGCTTGATTGTTGATCCAGGACGCTTTGAACCCCTTCGGAGGAGTCCCAGGCATGGTCGGACTCGGAGACTTCTCTTCCAAATCGTCAAAACTCACTTCCTGTACGGCTTCCTGCTTCTTGAACGAGTCCCTTCTTTCGGAGAGGGCCAGCTTCCGCATCACTACCACTTCTTTGGAATGACTGCGGTGCTGTGGCGATTCCTGGTGCGTTCCCAGTCGCGGAGAGCCGATGCAAAGACCCTGACGACCGTGTTCACCGACGCAAACGAAGCCGGTCGCCGTATCCAGTTCGCCGTCTTCCAACCCTTCGCTTTCGGATAACGGGACTTCCATAGTGTGGCGTCTGGTGCTGTACGCCTTCCTCTCGTGGCTCTTGTCTCCGGTCAGTTTCTCCGCAGACTGGACCCTCTTGAGGAGCGGAGATCTCGGGGGTTCGGCGCTTCTCGGTCGGACAGAGTGGCGGGCGATGGTGGGCGGGGACAGGGTTTTGCCGTGGAAGGTCTGGAGGGATTTGGGGTGCGCGGGGAGGCAGGACGGGGAGCACTGGGGGAGAGGGGCTGGGTGGGAGGGGGGATGCAGGCCAGAGGGGATGGGGGGATGCTGCTGGTGGACTTGCAGCGGCCGGCCTTGGTGTAGCGCCCCAGGACGTGGAGGGAGCTGGGGCGCGCCTGGGGGACGGGGGAGTTGGGTGAGCTGGAGCAGGGGGAGGAGCTGGAGTCTGCAAAGAAGAGAGGGAAATGTTCAGTCAAAAAAGTACCGTATTTTTCAGGCTATTAGTCACTCTGGATTATAAGGCGCACTGTCATAGAACGGTCTATTTTTGAACTTTTTTCACAAATAAACCGCACTGGACTTTAAAGGAAACACAACAGTGTGATGGGTGAGTGGTTTTGTTTGTTTGTTCGTTCACGGTGACTCTGGGATTTGTTCAGTTGTGGCGTGTAGGGAGGGTGTGTCTGGGACCAACGGATTGTCGGCGTGTTCGTAGTGACTCAGTTGTTCAGTTGTGTCTAGAAGTGGCACATTGCACTCGCTTTTTCAGTTCGTTCCTCCGTTCCGTTCCGTTCCTTGTCGGCGTGGAGTGATGAGTGTGTCTGTGGGAGTGTTTCGTTGCGCAGTCGCTGTCTGCTCCGTGTGTGTTTGTGTGTTCTGCGGGTGGTGTGGTTTGTAGTTTACTGAAGTCGTGCTGGGACACCTGAGTGGTTTCGTGTATAGGGCGCTCGGGATTGTGGGGCGTGCAGATGTTTTTTGATGGAGTTAGAGCAGGCATGTCCAAACTATGCGGCCCTCAGACAACTTTTTCTTGGCCCTCAGACTTCCAGGTGAATTGGCCCAAATTATCTTGCATAAATTGAAAAATAATTTTTTACTGCAAGTTTTTTGAAAATCTACCTTGATAAAGCTCATATTTCATATTTAGTGTGTGGTTTTAAGGATCTTAGCATGAATAAAAATTGATGGTTCATACTAACCTGTTAAACACACACACATTTCAATTATTCCCTGTACTGAGCATCAGTCTACAGCCCACAATCGGCCCTCTGCTTCGTCTGTGTTTAGATATGTGGCCCTTGATGATAAAAGTTTGAACACCCCTGAGTTAGAGGCTTAAGAGCGCGTCTAATAGCCCGGAAAATATGGTATTCTGTGTAGCCTGAGCTGTAGCAGTTTTAAAAAATGTACCATAATCACAACTAAAGGGGTGCAGAGGCTTAACCTGCAGAGGAAAGATCCACGTTTTCCTCATTCTCTGGATATGGACAGACCTCATGTGACGCTCAGAACCTCCAGAATTCACTCACTGAGCTGCACAGGCATAAATACTATCCCTTTAAAGGTTGTATAGAGGATTTTTAAGGGAAGAGAAACACATCTAAAAATCACGCTTGTTTACAGCCAGTGTGCGTTCAGAATTACTGTTGAAGTGACCTGTCTAAAAGTAATTTAGCGAACAATGCATCAGTTTTTAGACCCTTTTTCTGCTTCAGTCGGGCAATCACTGGAAGGAATCTCTAAGAATCACCTCAGTTTGGCTTTGCTCCTTTTCCCCTTCTCTTCTTCTTTCAGTGACTTGATAGACAGACTTTCTTTTGTGGCGAACTGGTCGTGGATTCTCATCCGCCGTCTCAACAAACTTTATGCGAAATGCGAGGAAGCTACAGTTTAAAAAAGCCTCTAAGAAACGCTGCATAAACCACATAATCCCCGAGCGCTGGCGAGTCAGTTACACTAGGGAGTTTGATTGACAACCGAACAGCCAATAGATAAAGAGGGAGCCTCGTTATCTATTGGCTGATAGATTTTCATTCTTTTTTTTTTGGTCATCATAATTACAAAGCTGCTGCATCTCTGTAATGGTATTTTAAACTTTCACTGACAATTTGAAACAAAAAAAAAATAAATCCTCCACACAACCTTTAAAGTGATAGTATGTAACTTTCTGGGTGTGAACAGTGAACTGCATTATTCCATGGAGACAGAATGTTAAAAACAGACTTCAAAGCATTCCCTATGAAACTAATCCTGGCACAATGTGGAATATTGTAAGGAAAACAAAACAAGACTTCAGCAAATAAGAGGAGCCTTCCCCCGAGTCAGTTTTGTGGAGTTGCATGGCCCTCTCACAGTAAAGACACATGCTTTTCATTATTTTTCAGAGCAATAAACATAATATACATAATAAATATACTTTTATTATGCCATATATTTTTTGGCCAAAAAAGTTACATAACAGTAATTTAAATAAGGTAGAATAAGGTGAAATATTTTTTTTTACTACAGTCTTGTGGTGGTGTTAAACCCAAAGGCACAATAATTGATTGAATTTGTGGACAAAATTCCAAAGTTAAATTATAAGATAACATGAGTCAACAAGTCGATCTGTGCATACAAGAAATCTCTAACAGGGTCATATCAGGCCACTGCCTTCATCTAAAATTAAATATTTCATGATCACGCCCTATTAAACACTGACCCTGCCTCTTTCATCATTTGGGACTTCGCTGTACTCACCTCCAGAGTGGTCGGGGGCAGGGGAGCGACAGGGCGTGGAAGGTCCAGGAGAGAGGCTCTGAGTGGGGGAACCGGAGAGGCTGTCGCTGGAGGACTGGTGGAAGCCAGAGGAGAAGCTGCGGCTGCTGTGGAGGGGGGCGGGGGGCGTGTGCTTCGACAGCTTCTTCAGAATGCTCCTCCGTCTGCTGCTCACACACAAACACGGCTCAGGAAACATGACAGAAGACAAAACTGCCCATAGTTTAGAAGTTTTATAGAACTTCTGAACTAAAACACAGTGATTATATTTAAAGAGGGGGTATTTTAATTCTATGAGGTATTAACCCCTTACATACACCATTTAGATCACCATCTTACCTTTTGATTGTTTTGAAAATGCTATATTTCGCCAAAAACATATTAACATATTCCCCCCTTCCTTTGCTCTCTGTGCTAAGTCACCCCCCCCCTCAGAGCACTATCACACCACAATCAGCCCTTATGAAACTACTGCACATCACATCAGGCTTGGGAAATTGTTTTTTAGTCTGTATCATGCTTTTGTATCTTTATGGAAAATTGTCGTGTGGGGCCTCGTACAGAATCGCACAGCTAACAGTAAGGAGGGTTTAAATCGAGAGAGAGATCACTAAATTACTCAAACATGCATACATGACATATAAAACCTCTTCAGACATTTTTTTGATGAGGGAACAATGTTATAACATGGTAGAAAGCTCCAGAAAGTGGATTCTGCATAACACCCTCTCTCTAAGCTCAAACTTCAGAAGGTCTTTATTTGTCTGAAGGTGAGAGTATGTGTCAGAGCCTCATTGATCACCTGTCCTGGCCGTCCTTCCTCTTGCTCTTCTTGCTCCTTCGTGCCATCTTGGCTCTGTAGCTGGCTTTCCGTGCAGGGCCCACTTTAATGGACGTGTTCTCCAGGGCTGTGGTCTGAAGGGTCACTCTGTTTCCACTCTGGAGAAGGACAGAGAGTTAAGAGTAACATGTTAGCTGCAATTCAAACTAATTCTTCAGTCTCCCCAGACATTCCTAAAATCTGGGTTCTCTATGGAGATATCAGCATATTTTATAACTTTTGGAAGTCAAGATTGACGCAGGTCACATTAACAACTTTCTAATTTGCTATGGATCCTACATTGACAACTGAGGGATTTCACAAACATCTTGAGAACTTTTAGCCTATTAAAAGAGCACCAGAGCTACTTGTGTGTGATAATAACACTGCTTTGCTTTTACAAAATACATATAACTCAACTTAACAAGAAAAACCTTCAGCTATAACTTCTTTTTAACTCATAATAACACTTGTAATGTACTAAAATGTGTTCATCTGTAATAGTGTCACCTTAAGCAGCAGCTCCACCACCTCTGTGTGCACCAGGCCCTGCACAGACTCTCCATTCACGTGAGTGATGAGGTCTCCAGCTCTGAGTCCTGCTTCATGCGCTGGGCTGCCCTCCTCCACACACTGAAGACACACACACACAGGAATGAGACGTCAGACACTGTTAGTATTTGTCTTTAGCTGTCAAAATGCACAGGTTTTGGTCTGGTTCATGGTTAATATTTCCAAAATGACTGAGCCAATATACATGAAACAAAGCTGGCACAATGTGCAGTTATTCAGTTGCTTTAAAATCGATTTTAAACAAGCATTATGTAACTTTTCTGGTGCTTGTTTCCATGGAGATGTTATTGATTATACAGATATGTGATATTTGACATGACAGATTCAACAACTCAGTTCACTAAAACATTGTTAAAGGTGCATTGTGTAACTTTTCTGTTGGGAGATTGTTTTCTCTACAGAGATGTTGCTGCTTTGTCTGGAATGTTTCACAGTATGGCATTAAACCTTTTATCTTCATGGAGACCAAACCAGACCAAGTTACAGGTCAGATCTGAGGAGAGTCGACCCCGCTCACAGTCAAAATGTCTGTTTTTTTTAGGTATTCTTGAGCTATAAACCCACCTGTAACTGAATAAATGTAAAGTAGAGCTGTTTAATGTCATACTGTGGAACATTCCAGGCAGAACAATTACATATCTACAGAAACAAACAGGTGATGGTCCCTCGATCAGAAAAGTTACACATGTAATCTGAAATCAAGCAATTGGTAGAGGAATTCTGTCTTAAAACTCACTGCTACTTCCTGTATTTTAGTTTTTTGTTTTCTACTTTACTTTTCAACAACTTTTTAGTCGACTAATCAATAAATCGGACATGCCTTGAGTGGACCAAGTATCTGTTTCCAGCTCTCGTGTGAGTGGAGCACGTACCCAGACCATGTGATGCACAGTGTACACGTCACTGTCTCCCATATAGACTCTGATGGCTCTGAGCGCGAAGCCGAAGCGTTTTCCTGAACTGTGGATGACGACGGGGGGGCGGAGACAGCTCACGGTGACGGACAGGTCTCTGCTAGGGGAGGAGTCTCTGGAAGAGGGGTTGGACGACAGAGACAGGGACGATTTGGGGCTGCTGGGAGGAGCGCCGGACTCATCTGGAAACAACACACAACTCGCTTTTCAGAGTTGGTCTTAAAGTTTAACATAACACTGTATGCAATGTCGGACTTAAGATTTAATAATATAACCCGGTCTAAATAAAAGAAAATTCTGAATATTAATCTAGACAGGAGTATCTTTTATGAGGTTAGATTAAAATATTTCACTAGTTTCAATATATTTCTTTAAAAAAAACAAAAAACAACTAAAACTCTGAGACAATCACCTTGAGTATTATAAGATCATCTGCTTTGTCTTCATGGAAATGCTTTGTCTAAAATGTCCCACAGTATGGCATTCAACTCATCTGTATCCATGGAGACAAGCTCGCAATGCTTCCAGGCCAACTTCAAGGTCAGATCTATGGAGATGCGAGCTCACTCAGTGCAGGAGTGCATGTTTTTCATAGTATCTTTGAGCAGTAAAACACCAGTAACTGAATAAATGCAAGATGGATGAGGTTAATGCCATACTGTGTAACCTTTGGAGAAAGAAATAATATCTCAATAGAAACAAGTTTGTTGCTAAACCCCCACCAATAAAGTTGCATAGAGCACCTTTAATATGCATTGTGCAACTTAAATTTTATTCCTTGGAAAAAAGTCTAACACAGACTAAATTTAACTATAAAAATCTTATGGAAAAAATAGACATGTTTTCTTGGTCTACAAAGCTGTGCTCAAAATGGCTACATATTCATCTTACAAAATGATAACCGCTGAAATGACAAGACAGAATCTGCAGAGGGCACTGTGTACACACCAAAAGAAAGATTAAAGTGCCTATTCCAGGTTAGACTACTCATTTTACTAAAACACAGTGAAGATCATTAGATTTAACATTATTGCAAAAATATTCACACTTGTTTTCTCAGTTTGGCCATTTTTTAGGTTTAAAATTTTACTTTCTTGTTGGAAATTAGGACACCCATGAGGGAATTCTATAATTTCCCTTGAAAAACTCCTCTAATGTACACAGAAATGATTATCTGACAAATACAAATATAAGAAAACACTTTGGTGCTGTTGAAAACATGTCTAAAGCCTCAATGTGCATGGAAAATGTGTCTAACGTTTGGATAGAATTCTCCTTGCTGTGATGTTGTCAGTGTGTTTTTTAACTTTTAAAATTACTTCTTGATTGGTTAAAACTGTAATTTATATTTGCAATAGTTGTAATAGTTATAATCCCACCCAAGTCAAAATGAGAGAACCACACAAATGTGTCATCTGCCCCTGAGTGTGGTGACAGCACTGACCTGGTGTGATGATGAGAGACAGTCCGGACACAGAGGCGGACTTGGGCACCTTCCCCACTGCGGGCTTCTGTTTCTCTGGTGTTTCGAGCTGGTGGGCGATCCTCCGTGACGCCCCTCTCCTGAATGAGGGACGTGTGCCAGTACTGTTACTACGGAGACGGATGCGACGCAAGTTTGAAACCACACCGTCTGAAAACAGGAACAAAGGCTAAAGGTTAAAGTTATCCTATTTTCTCATCTATGTTATAATGTTGTTTCCTTGTCAAAAATATACCCGTTTCATTCACAAATGTTTAACACACAAATCCTGCACATTTAGGATAAGTTCTTCTCTCTCATGATTGAAAACTACTAGCACTACATGACATCACAAGGTGGAACAGAGCATTTTGAGCTTTGGAGATGTAGACAGACTAATAATAAAGAGTTACTCAAATGTGTGAATGAAACAAAACACATCTCCAGGTGTTTTTCTGAGGAGGCAAAAGCATTATAACATGGCTAAAAGCTCACAAGAGTCAGTGTTGTGTTATAATAAAACATTGAAAGGAAACCCTGCACCCCCCTCAGGTCCTCCTGGTCCTGCCCAGTTCAGCAGCTCCAGTTGAAAATGTGGTTTTAGAAGGAGATCAGGTGTTTTGTCTTACTTTAAGTCTATAGCAATTATAAAAACTTTAAAAAGAGTTGGTTATAAGCACTCTTCTCTCTTACCCTCTTCCTCTGCGGAGATGGCGAAGCGGGGCATGACGTCCAGGCTCTGGGTGCTGTTCATCACTAAAGGACTGGCACTGCGCTCAGACTGAGACGAGCTGGAGGACGCACGAGGGCGCAGGCTGACACACAAAGAAACAAACAAGTTACTTCAAATAAATGACTCAAGAAGGAGTACAAAGCAGTGGTCTAAGAGATAAGAGTAAAAGTATTTGGGGAAAGCACTAAAGTCAAGTAAGAGATTAAAGCTACAGTATGTAACTTTCTGGAAATGCCATGTCACCTGCATGAAATAGAAAGTTCAAACCATCCTTCAGAACATTCTCTATGAAGACAGATATGTTTTATGCCATAATATGGAATATTATAAGGAACAGCATTTCTGTGGAAACAAACAGGCCCTCGTCTAGGCCACATCAGAGTCAGGTTTATGGAGATGCAAATCCGCTCACAGTAACAACATACAGTTTTTTTTTTTCCCTATTATCTTTAGTGTAATAAAGATAAAATAAAAAAATAAAAATAAAAACATTGCTTATTGGAACTGATGCTGAAAAATTTGCTGGATCTGACATCGGCTTTTAAATATTGAATAAATGAATTTGATTTGGGATAAATAAAGTATTTATTTATCTGTCTATCCATTTATCTATCTATATCGGTTAATGTAATTTACTGTTTACTGGTCGTAGTTGGCCCAGAAAATCTCATGTTTTAATTTTTACTTATACAACTTTTTTCTGTAGTTATTTGAAAGAATTACTTTATTTTTGTTCCAAGGAAATTAATACAGTTTCCAGGTATTGGTTTATATCGGATATTAGTATCAAAATCGAGTTTGAAATTTTCGTAATAATAAACATTAATTAAAGGTGCATTGTGCAACTTTTCTTGTGGAGGGTCCATCAAATGCTTTTCTAAATAGAGATGCTTGGTCTGAAATGTTTCACAGTATGGCATTAAACCTTTCTATCTTCATGGAGACCAAAGCAGACCAAGTTACAGGTCAGATCTGTGCAGAGGCGACCCCGCTGACAGTCAGAATGTCTGTTTTTCTAGGGATTTTTGAGCCATAAACCACCTGTAATTGAATAAATGTAAAGTAGAGCTGTTTAATGTCACACTGTGGAACATTCCAGATGAAGCAATAACTTCTACAGTACATGGGGAAGTATTTGACGGACCTCCACCAGAAAAGTGCCACAATGCTCCTTGAAGCCTGTGTTTGTTGGTGCGTCTCTCACCTGCCCCTGGGTCCCTCCACCCTCCTGTCTGCTGCCAGGTGTTTGTAACATTCCGGGGACAGTATGACGTTGCCCTCCCAGCGCTCCTCCTTCTCCTCGCTGTGGCTGCGCTCCGAGGACGACAGACTTGGATTGGACGGGGTGGATGTGGACAGGTGCTCCGTGCTGCTGTACACCTACAGGACAGAAGCAGGAATAACAGGCCCGTCAGCAAAATGTCTCCTATGCAGTATCCGTACAACTCACATAAATAAATGCTTTATCATTTGAACCTGTACTACACTTTATCCTCTCCCTTCTAGCACTTCTTCAAATATACTTGCTTATGTTAAAGGACTGTTTTCTGATCTGTTATAATGTAGTTTCCTCATCACAAACAGACCTGGAGTTGTGTTTTTTTTCATTCACACATGTTACACAAACCTGCACATTTAGGATGAATTCTTCCCAATTTTCTCAAACTGAAAACACTACGTTCCATCTTGTAATTGCTGTTAACTGGAAAACTACCACAACATGACATCACAAGGTGGAACAGAGCATTTTGAGCTTTGGAGATGTAGACAGACTAATAATAAAGAGTTACTCAAACATGTGTCAGTGAAACCAAACACAACTCCATGTATTTTGAGGAACATGACTAAAAGGTCCCAAAAGTCAATTCTGTGCAATAGAGAACCTTTAACAGAGAAAATTATTGAAGTCTTAGAATGAATATTTTATTTATTTATGTACTACTCCTACTATTACTCCTACTCCTCCTCCTATTACTCCTACTACTCCTACTACTACTACTACTCCTACTACTACTACTCTTATTACTACAACTCCTACTCCCCCTACTCCTATTACTACTCCTCCTCCTCCTATTACTCCTAATCCTACTACTTCTACTCCTACTCCTCCTACTCCTATTACTCCTCCTCCTATTACTCCTACTACTACTACTCCAACTCCTACTACTCCTTCTCCTCCTCCTACTTCTACTCCTAATCCTACTACTACTACTACTACTACTACACTACTACTACTACTACTCCTACCTACTACTACTCCTACTACCTACTCGTATTCCTCCTGCTCCTACTACTCTAATATTAGTATTATAGAATCTAGTATTATAATAATAATACACACTTGTGTAGCGCTTTTCAAAATACTCAAAGATGCTTTACATGAAGAGACAAATGCAAACAAAAGAAAGAGTGTAAGTAAGACAAATAATACGTTTATGAAAGGTGGTTTTAAAGAGATGGGTTTTCAGGGCTTTAAAGGTTTCACTATTTCACTTTTGTGTAATACCAGAAGCAAGAATTTAAACCACTAATCTTTGGGTGAACTGAGCAGCTCCAGTACGGCTCTGGTGCCCTGGTCGCTCGCAGAGACAATACAAAACTCATCCACTTTATCTGACGTTTATTGATGTGCAAAAGAGACAGTGGATATACGCACCGGTCACACAAAGGTCGATTGACAGTTACCTTGCTGAAGCGGTGAGCCACAGAGGAGAACTGCCTGAGCTCCAGAGACGTATCTTCATCGTTGGTCTCATCGTCTTCATCAGAGCCCAAGTGACAGTAGCGATCTGACCGAGCTGTGGTTCAGACACATGAGTCAGCAGCAGTTACATAAACAGAACTAAACCTCTCACAGATGAATTCTAATATCCTGCACTCCCCCCAAGCTCCTGTTATGCGGCTGTGACGGTCTGTACTCACTGTCGAAGTAGCTGGTGTCCTCATCGGTCTCCAGCTGAGGGATGAACTCTGCCTTCTGCCTGAGGAGCCCATTCCAGTCCAGACCCAAGAAGAATGTGTGCATCTTCACCTCTGCTGTCCCACCTGGAGCAGAGACGCCAACAGACTGTCAGTGTGTAATAGTGTGGTCTCAAATCACAACAGCAAGAGGCAACAGAACGGATTTTCCAACACAAAATAATGGTTAAATAATATTACCTTGTGGTCTAATACTACATCTGATAACTGTATTTTGTGTTTTTCAGTAGTAATACTACTTTTAACAATTCCTGTGTACATTAGCATTTGTCGTAGGAGCTTTTTTTTTCAGAATTTCTCACAATTTATTACAAAAAAATCACAGATATTCCCATCACTCCCATAAATCACATGGTCTAAAAGTGACTGAAATGAAACTTATTTGAAAACGCATTATTCGATGACTCAAAACAAACAAAAAAGGTTTATATGACAAATTGATGTGAATATGTTTTGGCATCAATCAACCATTAACCTATTAAGACGGTGTAATCTATCTTTTGTCCAGGAGTGGTTCCATGCATCTCTAGAATTAACCTGTTGTATTTGTGTTTGTGACAAGAAGACTACGCAAACATAAGATCAATAAGCTCTGTTCACGCTGATGTTACAAACCCGAAACACATTTGGAAACATGCGATGACAACTTCCGCTGTAGTTACTGACACTGGGCTTTCACTGTTGTGTTTTTATGCATTTATTTTATTTTCATGTGAACTGAATACTTTCATAAGGTGATGTTTTGGTTTCTATCTGAAAATATGCAAGTAAAAAAATAAAAAAAATTACATTAGGCTTACGACCAACTGTGATCAAACCCAATGAAGTAAATGTCATCAGCGATAAAATGGAGACTGCAGACGTATGTGCTGTTTGGAATCATCTGGAATTTGACCTCATCTCTTCTAATGACATGTACCCAGTGCACTCAGAGTTGTGCATCACTGAGGAAATGATGAAAACTGACGAATGGTTGGAATTGTTGATTAACCTAACATAATGGAACTCTACAATGACACGGAGATGAAGAAAACTGGGACATTTTCTAATTTTTCCTAGATTTTGTCAGACTTACTACAATGAACAGAGCCCGCCGGAAGTTTCCAAACGTCTTCCTGGTTTGTGATGTAATGTGAATAGAGCCTATACAACAATTAGCAGCTTCACTTGGTCCATCACCACCATGTCGGTTTATTTTGTCATCCATAATTACAGGACATTTGGACTAATTTCAGAACAGCTAGAGTTCGCTCACAGCACATAACACTAGAGTCCGTGACATGCTTTGTTAGTTTAGATGACAAGCAGACGCTGAGTCATGCTCTGGGACAGACCTGTGCCCAGTCGCTCCATGGGGTTCTGTCTGAGCAGTCTGGTGATCAGGTCCTGGGCATCAGTGGGCAGGGCATCCTCCTCGTCGGGCCAAATGATCTCATCTACAACAGCAAAATGTCAAATGATTATAACAGTGGAACGAAACACCAGATTCACCTTTGTCAGACAATGTATACGGTGTTTTAATAACATGATCTACTGTTCTACTGTTCTGAGTGAATTTGCAGCTTTCTGGTCAAAAACACCTCAATATAAGCATGTGCTGCCTTCAGTGGCCCTTTGTAGTTTCCAGTAATTGGTGACGTTACAAAAAACTGCCCTGATTACAGACAAATCTTCCAGATAAAAAAAAATTAATAAAGCCACTGATTTCCAGAAAATCAAAAAAAAAAAGCAGCACCCCCCACTAGAAATGTTACATAGAGCACCTTTAATTTTACAAGTATCATAAGTATAGCATAATTACTCGCCCAAGATATTCTCAGAAAAAAAAAAAAATTTACTGCTTATGTCAAAAAATGATTGGAGCAGTGTCTTTTTGGTTGTAGAAGTATTTCTAATTGGCAAAAGACAGATCCAAGGCAGGTATGTACTGAGGTTGGTGAAATAAAAGCTCTCACCGTTCACGACTTGTCCAAACAGCTCTTCTGGAGTGTCCCCAAAGAACGGCACACACCCAACCAGGAACTCGTACAGAATGATGCCCATGGCCCACCAGTCCACGGGCTTCCCATAGCCCTGTCGCAGAATCACCTCTGGGGCGATATACTCCGGGGTCCCACACACCTGAACACAACACACACACAGACAGATTTTCAGAGAACAACAAGTGATTAAGTCTGTGAAAAAGAGCCCAAAACTAAAAGAAAACCCCAAATAGAAGCGACTTGTGAAACATGAATGAGATGCGCATATTTTACTTACATGACAAAGGTAAATGGTCACATTCTTAAATAGTTCTTCTCTACCTTCAAGGCACTCGAAGCACTTTACATCAAGGAACCATTCTCCCATTCACACACACACCCCTCATACACCAGTGTACGCAGACACTGGGGGCAAGGGGGGTTAAATGTCTAGCCCAAAGAAACAATAACAGCATTCATCTGTGGCTCTTTGGATCAGTGAACAAACACTCTACCAACTGAGCTACTGTTGCCCACATTAACCCATGTTAATCAATAATGGCTTTAAAACATTGGCCGCTCGTGGTTCACTCATTAACATACAGACTAAATGGTCTTTAATGGCTCTATTAATGTGAAACAGAAATGAAAAAGGATAAAAATTACATTTTTTGATGTGAAATATAATGGATCCACACGTGAAAGCACCATTCAGGAACTACAACCCTCGACTCTCAAAATGTACAAGCGACATAATTTGACTTTTAAATGGTGAATATTATATGGAGTCGTGCTTTCAGCTGTGTGGGGAACCATCAGCACATTCTACAATCTGAACAACACAGTTTAGTAGCAAAACAGGGCCTTGGTTGTACTCAAAATGACGCTTGATTCAAAATGGAAAGTTACGTTATAGCCTATTTTCTTGTCAAAAAATATTTGTTCAAATGAATTTGCTGACAACAAATGTAACGTTTATTCTTATTTACAAAAACATTGGACCAAGTTGATGTTTTCATTTGATGTTTTGGTTTTCAAGACAATTACCTACTTGGAAAGCTGTCTGAGTTCCCCCAGCTTTGGCTTGCCAGATTCTACAACTAAAAACAGCTGCAAAAGAAAGTAAAGAGCCCAGATTCTCACTACCAAGACCCCATCACCTCCTAGTGCAGACTCTGCAGCTCAGTGACTGAAGTCTGGAGATGGTGCTCTTTCACATGTCCATATACAGAGAATGAGAAAAACTTGAATGTAAAATGTGTCCACTATATCCAGCTTTAAACACTGGCAACCCAGGCTCAGCTGTGATTGCACTTCTTTTTTTAAACCAGCTACACATCCTTTAATATCATTTTAATTCAATTTACCACTGCCAACATCATCAAAGCGACTGACCTGTTTATCTATGAACTCTCTGGTGTCCTTCTCGATGTGGCCCTCATACAAGTTGGTGGTCATGTTCATCAGACCGATCTTTGACAAACCGAAGTCCGTCAGCTTTATGTGTCCCATGGAAGTGATCAACAGACTGAAAGAACCACAGAAATAAAGATGTGATCAATGTTACATCAAATCCCCAAATCCCCTTAAAACAGAGATTGGAATAAGACATCAAATGCATTCACAGTCTTTTCATGATGAGAGTGAGAGGAGGGATGATGAAAGCTCAAAGTTTTAAGTGAACTATAAGCTGGAGTGTGATGTAAAATGCATGGGAGAGTTCTTTGTAGGAGACTCACTTGTCTGGTTTGAGGTCGCGGTGGACGATGCCGTAGTTATGCAGATATTCTAAAGCTAAAACGGTCTCGGCGAAGTACATCCTCGCCATGTCCACGGGCAGAGGGCCAATGTTCTTCAGCAGGTTGGCACAGTCCCCACCTTCAAGAGGCAAAATGAAAGGGTACAAGGTTAAATACTAAATAAGAAAGACAAGATTCACTGATTTTTTTTTAATGTATTGTGTTAAACATATAATTATAAAAAATCGTGAGAACACAGCCAACTTAGGGTAATGAGTACTGAGTCTGTTCCTTAGTATTGAAATGTTTGTATTGTGACAACACTATATTACAGACAGGTATTAAATAAAGGAGAGTTAGGTTGCCAAAAACTAGTCCAACCATGCCTAGACACGGCTCATTATGCACTGTTTCCTGGAGGTGAGGGGAACTTCAAGTACTCTACTTCTAGGAACTTGTTTTCACTCCTACTTAAGTCATATTTAATTCAACAGTACTCCTACTTCACTAAAAGTTTTGGTGACTCTTCCCACTGTGAGTAAGTCTATGCCTGGTCTATATTTTAAAATAACCGAACTGCTGTCCTCTACTTGTCGTCATGAAGATGTTATTAGCCTTGTCTAGAATGTTCCACAGTAGAGATTAAACCCATCTATCTCAAGGGAGACAACTATAGGCTACATTACAGTTCAGATCTGTGGAGAGGCAACACTATTCACAGAGAGAATAATTGTATTTTTGAACAATAGAAGTATCCCGAAAATTCCAGGCAAGCAATTCCATGGAGACAAGCAAATGACAGACGCTCCACCAGAAAAGTTGCACAATTCACATTTAAATTTGACTGTTTAATGTGCTTAAATTGCCCCCAGGAACAAATAAAATGATGAGCATAGAACTGTGAATCACAATATTGTAATTTGATCAAAGCAAAGCATCTGAAAAGTGAGATCACAAATGAATTTTTATCATCATATCACCTTACTGTCACTCTCTACTCTGGTATCAGTTAATATTGAGTACAAGTACTGAAAAAAACATCCTGGAATAGTCCATAATAATAGCAGTCTTACCTTCCACATACTCCATGACCATGCAGAGGTGCCTCCTGGTCTCAAAGGAGCAGAACATGGAGACCACAAAGGGGTTTTCAGCGAAGGTCAGGATGTCCCTCTCCACAAACACCTGCTGGATCTGGTTCCTCAGCATCAGGTTCTGACGGTTGATCTTCTTCATAGCGAAGCGCTGACGGGTTTCTTTGTGGCGCACCATGTACACAGCTCTGCAGCCAAAGCACAAAGAGATCAGAAATAATGGAAGGTGACAGCAAGTTCACTATATAATATATTTAATACACTACCAGTTAAAGGTTTGGACACACCTTCTCATTTAGTGTTTGTTTTCTTTGTTTGCTACTTTCTACATTTTAGATACACACACAAGACATCAAATATATGAAGCAAGATATATGGAATTATGTAGCAAAGAAAAGATAACTCAACAATTTATATATATGTGTATATATATATATATATATATATATATATATATATATATATATATATATATATATTTTTTTTTGCTTTATATATATCCCTGGCCTTCTTTCCATGAACTTCTTGATGAAGTCTCCTGAAATGGTTTTCACACAGCTGTGCCTTGTCAGGGTCAACGAAACGCCAAAAGTTCAAATCCCTCTCCCTCCTGACCTCCATGACTCACTCCCACATTTCAAATCCAAACTCAAAACACAGCCATTCAGACTGGTTTCTTCCCTCACCATAACCAGACCTGGGCGTTGTACTGCTCCCGGGCCACATACGGCCCTTTGGTCAACTCTGACCGACCCGTTTAAACTCACTTAGAATTACAAAATACACCTATTAAAACATTTTACTTCATGCATGGACTAAAGCAGCACTGCTTTTAGTTTAGAGATGCTTTTGTAATAACCTTTTTTGTAAGGCGAGCTCACTTTTTCATTGCTTAGTCATAACAAACTCTTACCAATCTCACCAGTTTGTCAAAACAATGCGATTTACTGCTTTTTAAAAATAAAGAAATACAATTAATATTATGCAGAACTGAGTTAAGCATTTTGGTCTGGACCGCCACAATATTTTCTCTCTGACATGTGGCCCCATGGGAAAAAGAATTGCCCACTCCTGCTATAGCTGCACGGTCTCAGTGTGCCTGTGTGCTTTTAACTGGATTTTTAAATTGTATTTAACTTTGTTGATGCTTTTATATTTGTTTATTCCTGTAAGGTGACCTTGAGTGTCCAGAAAGGTGCCTAATAAATAAAATGTATTATTGTTATTATTGTAGGAGCCATAGTCTTTGTGACTGGTTGTTATAGTAATGCATTGGGGCGGGGGTCACATGGGCAAAGCTGATCTGCCTGTAGTTTTCAAAGGCACTGGCTTCCTGCTGTGTGGGAGGGGAGGTGATGGCAGGTGCTGTATTTTTCGTTGACCGCTTCGTTTTGTTTGTTACCGTACTATTGTAGGCCTACATCATTACACCAAAACACATTATACAACTCGTCTGCTTTTCTACAAAAGGCAGCGAGCCAGACTGAGGTACTGGACCTGATCTCCTCTCTAGGCTACAAAGACTCAGGGTCGTAACAATTATTATTATAAACCAAGTTTCAAAGCAAAGGCAATTTATTTATTTTTTAAATTTGAGTTGTTTTTAGTTTTTTTTTTGTTCACTACATTCATTGCTTCACTGACAGTCTAGAATGTAAATAATCATGGAAATAAGGAAGAAACGTACATGAAAAAGTGAGTCCAAACGTTCGACTGGTAGTGTACATCCATAATATTTTTTGTCAGTACAATTGATACCAAACACAATATTTTCTTCCATTTCAGTTTGTTTTCAGTCTCTCACCCATAGGCGCCGTTGCTGATGAGTTTAATGGTCTCGAAGTCACTCTCCAGAGGTTTCCTGCGAGGGGGGGTACAGGCAGCCCGGCTCTGGATCGCACGGAAAACAGGAAGTACGGAGCGTTACCATGGGAACACACACACTCACTCAGCTGAGGAAATACTCAGGACTTTCCTCCCACAGCACAACGTGACAGCTCGACATCACAAAATCCACCCACTCACTCACTTCCGGGTGATAATTACACAGATTGTGATCTTGAACTAAATATTTTTCACACTTTCAAGTTGAAGAATTAAACACATTGGCAGTATTTGAAACCACTTCCTAGAATTCATCTCAATAGAAGCCGGCAACAACACAAGATTATACTGTACTTTTTTTTTCATTGCAGAGAAATACTTACCTAGTGTGCCATAAAATATTCTGAATTTAAAGTGGAACTAAACACTAAATCCTCTTTTTTTTGCAACTTAACTCTCTGTGTTTTTTTTTTGTTATTACTGCTGTACGATTATGTGTCATTGTTGCTGCCGAAAAATTACCTTCCTTCCTAATATAGAGATAGATGGATAGAGAGACAGATGGAGCAAGTAAAGTAAATAAGTAACATTTTAAGTTAATGGTGTTTTGTGTATTGTTGGAACTACAGTTAAAGTTTAAAGGTGCATTGTGTAACTTTTCTGATGGACGGTTTGTCAAATGTTTTTCTTCATGGAGATGTAATTTCTTCATGTGGAATGTTTCACAGTGTGGCTTCAAACCTTCTATCTTCATGGAGACCAAACCAAGTTACAGGTCAGGTTTGTGGAGAGGCAACCCTGCACACAGTCAGAATGTTTGTTTCTCTAGGTATTTTTGAGCTATAAACCTGAGTGTAATTGTATAAATGTAAAGTAGAGCTGTTTAATGTCATACTGTGGAACATTCGAGGCAGAGCAATGACATCTCCAGAGAAACAAGCAGATGACAGACCCCCACAAACCAAAGAGTTGCATAGTCAATACTGGGACATTTACTGAAATGTTTCTTAATATATAGTATACTGTCCTTCAGCAGTAGAGTCTGATCTATGAACAGATTTTTAATTAAAAACAATGGTCAGACAAATGCAAATATATAATAATTACAAATGCATCGTGAAGTGCCCTACATACCAATGAAACCCAGAGCCTGTACCTGTAAAGGTGAAGTCTCTCCAATGTCATCAGAGTCTCTGCTGGAGGCTCTGTGCCCTGGACTGGTCTGCTCCAGCTGCACCATGTCTGAAAACAACAGCAAAGAGAGTAAACTTCTATAACCAAAGATGCCCTGTGCAGAGTCTCAAAAGCTGTTAAAAATATAGAAAATCACTGAAACTAGTATCGAAACTAGATACTCATTTGAGCAGGTATCAATACTAAAAAAGTCACATTCACAGGAACTGAGCCTTTCCTGAATAGTTTTAGAATGATGTTGTTCTGTATGAGAACAAGTGTCAGAGCACATAGACTAGTATACACACATGGACCAACATGAACCTACTGCACCACTGACAATTACACATGAGAATAAAAAAAGAAAGTACTACGATTTAATGTTAAAAATCACATTCTATTGTCTGAAGAAAGAGTGTTTTTTAATTATCATCGTGGGATCGAAATCCATATCAAGTCTATTCGTATCGAAACAGATTTGAAATTTTAGTATCCTGACAACACGAGTTTAGTTGCTGAGCAGATCATTTTAATTTAATAGTAAAAATGTAAACAGAGCCAGACCTTCCAGTGGGTCTCTAGTCAGGCCCAGCTGGCTGATGATGTATTTGGGTATATCAGTTTTGACGTGACCCACTTTGGCCTGGCCCTCTGCCACCTCGAGGCGCTGGTAGAACTCTTCTGGGTCAAACTCCTGCAAGAAAAACATCACCATTATAATGTCAGAGGCACTCAGAAAGGTCATACTATCTAAAAGTCTTCATTTCCAGGTGGCAAGTAGGGCTAAAACACCAGAAGTACAAAGTAGAAATTACTGAAGTAAAAGTAGGAAGTTTCTACTTAAAGGTGCATTGTGCAGCTTTTCGGTGGAGGGTCTGTCAAATGCTTTTCTCCATGGGGTTGTTATGGTTTTGCCTGGAATGTTTCACAATATGGTATTAATATGGTATTTTATATTCATGGAAACCAAACCAAGTTACAGGTCAAATCTGTGGAGAGGCGACCCCACTCACAGTCTGTTTTTCTAGGTATTTTTGAGCTATAAAACCACCTGTAATTGAATAAATGTAAAGTCAAGCTGTTTAATGTAGGGGTGGGCGATATCTCGATATTTTTAATATATCGAGATTTTTTAAAAACTCGATATGAATTCTGACATATCGTGTATATCGATATAATGCTTATATTCAATTTTGATTTCGCTGCTTTGCTTGTTTGTCTTCTCTGACGCCGCCTGCGCGCCCCCGCCTCCCAGATTTTGTTCGCTCATGTCTCCTTCACTCCTCACTATCGCCGTGAATGCCGAAAGTTGGTGCCAGTGAAAAGCTTCAAGCACCACGAACCTTTTCCACCATTTACAGACAAAGCCATCAGCAACACATTTCATATTCCACCGAGTCATGTCCTTTAGTCCAAAAGAAGTTGAACTGCATGAGCAGCACATGGAGTGCGCTGTTTATGCAAATTAGCCATGCGCTTTTTAAGTTTCGTTTCTGTAAAACGTAAACAAGTCTGCGCAAAGCTGCAAAAAAATAAAAAATTAAAATTAACACTATAATGTCAAAGGGGCTGATGTGGCTCTAGAGTCGTTATGCTTTATATATTGTAAAGTTTAGTAATGTAAATTCTATTTATGCAGAAGATTTTAATTAATAATCTGTTGCAGTGTAACTTGTACAACAGTGTTTGGATCTGCAGTGGATTGTGGGAAACCTCAGAACTCCTTACTGCTGGATAGGAACATGGATCTGTTAAAAGAAGAAACATCCTGAGCTTCCTCTGCTAAAGGAGCTCACGGTTATGATTATGGTTTGGATAACAGAGTTAATGCAAAGATGAGCTTGTGTTGAGTTGTTTTATTTATGAATGAAACAAAGGAAATATGTTTTATTTCTTTTATTTAACAGTTACATTATTATTTATGTAATTAGGGTTTTTTGTAATCTTAAATGTTCCTATATGAACTGCCGACCTCTTACACTTTAATTTTTAAAAAAAGGACCTTGTGGAATTTGGCAGATTTGTTTTTGCAGTTTTCTGTTTTAGGGGGTTATTTTTTCCTGTACAGATATCGAGATATATATCGTATATCGAGATATAGCAAAATATATTGAGATATATTTTTTGATCCATATCGCCCAGCCCTAGTTTAATGTCATACTGTGGAACATTCCAAACATATCCATAGAAACAAGCAAGCGATGAACCCCCAACAAAAAGTTACACAGCGCAGCTTTAAGTAATTGTAAGAGTAGCTGGACATAACATCTGATTCATAATTTAAAAGAATGTTTTCATGTCATTGGAAGGACAAAATATTGAATTATGTAGTGTTCTGGTGTAAGGAAACACATTGAAGTACTTCTTGTTATTTATTTTCTGAACACAAGTCATGCCAAAACAAGCACAACACAAGCCCAAAACAGCCCCAGTCTAATTCAGCAGTGCCAGTCTCCTAACTCCTCCGACCGACGAATAGAACCTTCACATTGACTTGTCGGCATGGCAACAAGTGTCACATACAAAAGCAGTTACATTAAAGGTGCACTGTGTAACGCTTTAAAACTGCTTTAAAACTGCTTTAAAACCTCTTTAAAACCACCAATTACAGATGGTTTTACAGCTCAAAGATGCCTAGAAAAACAGACAATCTGACTGTGTGCGGGGTTGCCTCTCCACAGATCTGACCTGTAAATTGGTCTCCATGAAGATAGAAAGGTTTAATGCCATTTTGTGAAACATTCCAGACAAAACAATAACATCCTCATGGAGAAAAGCGTTTGATGGACCCTTCACCAGGAAAGTTACATACTGCACATTTAACAACACACATTCTTTTAACATTAACAGTTACAATAACCACAAAAAGTGTCAACTATGAACTAAACACAAACAATTACAAAAAAACAACAACCCTCTAGCACAAAAAAATGCACTTGCAATACTTACTGAGCCTCAAAAACATAGTTCCAGTTGATATGGTAATTATCATGACTCTTATGTCCAAATCATTTTATATTATCAACAGAAAGGTCTTGTCAGCATTGCATGTACAACTTTATTAATACTCAAGTAGAAGTAAAAGTATGGTGTCTTAAAACTAATATTTTGTACAGTTGCATTTCATTGCATTAAATTTTCCTGAAGATGTGAGACCGGCCTCTACTCAAGTTTAAATCCAGGCTCCAAACAGTTCTGTTCTATTAGTGTGCGTAACACTGAAAGATTTTTATTCTACACTCTTCTATTTTAAACATGCTTTGTAACTTTTCTGGTGGAGGGTCTGCCACCTGCTTGTCTGTATGGACCTGCTTTGCTTTGATTATTCCACAGTATGGAAATAAACTTGGTTAAAACAATGGAGACAAGTTAATGGTCAGATCTATGGACAAGCAAGCATGCATGTGGTAAGAATTCATGTTTGTTAAGGTATTTTTGAGCTATAAAACACCTGCAGTGGAACAAATATAAGAGAGATACTGAATGTTTAATGCCCTATTGTGGAACATTTCAGGCAAAAAAATAACATCTCCATGGAGACAAGTAGAAGACCCTCCAGCATAGAAATTACATAGTGCACCTTTAATGTTAATTTTATGATTTGTTTGTATTCTGATTTTAATGTTTTTCTTATTCTTTAAAGCTCTTTGAATGACTTGAATGACTGTGTATGGATTGTGCTATACAAAAAAAAAAAAAAAATCCTATTTCTTTCACTAACTGTTACTAAATCTTGACTAGGCCTGATGGACATTTCATAACAACAACCAAAATATAGGGATATCGTATCATAAGAAATCCCAAAATAATATTGTGGGTTGTCACAGTATATCGAATTACAAAGTTCCTTTGATTAAATTCATTGTTTGACCATAGCAACAGATAATAATAAAAACATAGGGAACTACATATCCTATGATTCATGTCAGCGCAGACAGCATCAACAAATGTGACTTTTACTTGAATTCTTGAGATTATGACAGTAATAATTATGAGAATATAGCACCAAGAGCCTTGGGTATTGTTACATCCCCACTAATAAGTGAAATCTGTATTTGTATAGAAGAAAAGCACTGCCTCCTCCACTTTGTACCACCATCATTTAAATGTAATGACCTGTTCAGCCCTGACATTAAAGCTGACTCATCTGTACCAGTCCTGTCCCTGAGTCACGTGACCTCGGCAGAGACACATACCAGACACTCGAGGAGGCGGGCAGGTCTGGAGATCACCATCAGAATCTTCTTCACCAGTTTGATGATGATGGACACCTCCTCACTCTCAGAACGCTCGTACGCCTAAAAAAAACACACACACACACACACACACACAACAGTTAAAACACACATTTTTAACATTTCTTTCATCTTATTTATAGACACAGGGTGTAACTTTCTGGTGATGAGTATGAGTCCTTGGAAAGAGAAAGTTAAAACCATACATCAGTTTTATGGCACACTGTGGAATATTATGGGATTAATGACATTTCTGGGTCCAATTTACAACTTCACACCTAAATTCTAACTTTGAAAAATGGAAATAATGAAATGATAATCTATCATCATTTTGTATCACCAGTGTGTATGTTTCACAAGCTGATGTCACCGCTTAGCCTAACCGAATTTCTTTCCACAACTTCGTGTACTTTCTGTCATATGTATAAAATTGTTATTGTTAAACGACTGCCATTACTTTAAGTTCGTATGGCAGGTTTTGATGATTCGCTAATTTTGACTGGATTGGGTGGGCTCATACCTGTTGTAAATATAAATCATAGTTTTCCACAACAATTCGTGAAGAAAGTTGAAAAGTATGTTGAAAATTACAGGAAGTGGAGAGTTCCATTTTAGTTTCTGATATCTGAAACATGATTTCAACAAAATAAAGGTGTTTTCTTAGATTTTTATTGGTCAAATAATAATTTCTGTGTGCATTAGAGGAGTTCTGGTCCAGTGTCCAACATGGTTGCTAGGTAACACTTATGGAATTCCCCAGTGTGACGTCATGATTTCCAACCACAAGTAAAAGTAAAAGTGTTTTAGTAAAATCTGAAGTCCAACCTGGACTGGGACTTTAAAGGTGCACTGTGTAACTTTTCTTGTAGAGGGACGGCCAGTTACACGTCTCCATGGAGATGTTATAGATTTACCTCCAATATTCCTAGTATGGCATTAAACTTTTCATCTCCATAGAAACAAGCAGGAGAAATGAAGATCTGTGAAGAGGCGACCCCACTCACAGTCTGATACATGCTTGTAAAGATATTTTTGAGTAAAAAAACACAGATAATTAAATAAATGCATCTTATATAAGTTATATTATGGAACATTACAGGCAAAGCAATAGCATACCGAAAAATTACACAGTGTCCTTTTAGTACGAGCTATATAATTGCTTATCAAGTTGAAAACAATTATCATCTTTCATTTAATTGCCCATGTACTAGCAATACAACACCTCTGTGTGATTAAAGACACTCAAATCTTATCAGATAATATTTGGAGAGCAATTTTATGTGTCCAGATAAGTAATAAAGTCGGCAGTAACAGACAGACTTGAGTTGAGTCAGCTGTTACATAAGATTGTGCCTATAGTGAATGACGTGTCTGCTGTCACGTCTTACTTTCCACACAGATAAAGTCTTATAAGATTGAATCAATATCCAGATACTGATCGAGGCCAAATTAAACGATCATTAAAGGTGCACTGTGGAACTTTTCTAGGGGACGGTCTGCTACCTGCTTTTCTCCATGGAGATGTTATTGCTTTGTCTGAAATGTTTCACAGTATGGCATTAAACCTTTCTATTTATTTATTTTATTTGCTTATTTATTTTGCACATATATAACATATAACAATAAAAAGCAAACTAGATAAAAACGTAGATGCCAGAAGAGACAAAAAACCCAAAAGGGCTGATATTAAAGCTTCCACCTTATGGATATATGCAAATTGAACATTATAGCTGTGCATTAATAAAAAAAAAAAAAAAAAAAAAGACATCCACAATTGAATGATTATGCAACATTACCATGAAATATCAACTCTTTTTAACAATGTTTCTGATATGCCATCACTAACCAGAAACCAGATGTGAAATATGATCATAGAAACCAAACCAGACCAAGTTACAGGTCAGATCTGTGGAGAGGCGACCCGTCAGTCAGTCAGTCAGAATGCCTGTTTTTCTAGGTATTTTTGAGCGATAAAACCACCTGTAATTGAATAAATATAAGGTAGAGCTGTTTAATGTCACACTGTGCAACATTCGAGGAAGAGCAATGACATCCACAGAAACAAGAAAGTGATGAACCTTCAACCGAAAAGTTACATGGTGCACCTTTAACTAGAAGTGTGTTTCATTAGTTTTTGCCTGTTTAATACATATAGTTTCGCCCATATTTTTGCATGCCTCAGTGGACTAGAACTGAGTGTAGAGTACATTGGATTTTCTTTGCATGTCTGGGTAATACTATTAGGTCACACTTAGTCCTTAGAAAATTGTGTTAGTAAACTTACTCAGTACTGATTCACATACTAAAATAATAAAAAACATCCTTTCTTTGGTCAACAGAATGTGATTTTCAACATTATTGCAGTACTTCCTTTTCTATTCCCATGTGGTGTTATATGTGTGTAATGGTCAGTAGGTTCATGTTGGTCCATGTGTGTGTACTAGTCTATGTACTCTGACACTTGTTCTGATACAGCTCAACATCATTCTAAAGACATTCAGGGAAGCTTCATTTGTGTCCTGTGAATGGGACTTTTTAGTACCAATACCTGCTCAAATGAGAATATAGTTTCGATACTAGTTTCAGCATTGATTAGTATCTGATTTTCGATACTTTTGACAACCCTACTGCTCTGTCTTGCAGTGAGGATGCACTTTGCTCGCTCTCTCATCATTATTAGCGTTCTGATGATTATCTAAATTGGAGAATCAAATATAAAGGATTCTGTGTTTCCAGCAGCAGTCCTGTCACAGCGGGTTAGATCTAAGTGCTTTCAAATGTTCCTTCAAAAATGTTATGTAATAAACCATTATGCAATTTAACACTCGACCGCAGCTCTCATCTGGAGGAGACGAGAACGACAGAGACAGTGGAGGGGCACAATCAGACTGAGATGGAACACAATTACAACGCTCCCTTATTTTGTTAAAAGGCAACAGTGAATGTACTTTGGTGGAGGGTCCTGAACCTTCTCAGTGTTGTTTTCATAACAAGATAAATAGTTCCCTAGTCTGAATGTCTAGATTACTTATTTACTATCCACAGGAAACAAATTGTGTCATTTTATTTATTCATTAGGCCCAAGAGCCAGAAGCTGTGAAATATATTAAGATACTTAATACTAGTATCTAGAAGTGAAACCAGATACTCATTTGAGCAGATACTGATATGAAAAAAGTCCCATTCACAGGACAGAAGTTTTCCTGAATGTCTTTAGAATGATGTTGAGTTGTATCAGAACAAGTGTCAGAGCACATAGACTAGTACACACACATGGACCAACATGAACCTACTGCCCCACTGACCATTACACACATATAACACACATGGGAATAGAAAAGAAAGTACTACAATTTGATGTCGAAAATGATCTTCTATTTAAAGTCTAAAGTCTAAATAAAGTATTTTTATTATTATTGTGGTTTAAAAATGGGTAGTGAGTGTAGAGTCTTTAGTAATGAACTCAATTTTGTGTCAATATCGTGACAACAGTACATTAAACACAGGAAGCACTGTTAATAATGTTCAGTAAACCTGGTCTGACCTCATGCAGCAGCTTGTCCAGCTTCTCCTGCAGCTCCAGGAAGTACCTGGAGGTGACCAGGCCGTTCTGGGATTTGTCCAGACAGTCTCTGGCCAGCTCCAGCAGCTGGTGCTGGATGAAGCCCAGGACCCCGTCAGCCAGAGGCAGGGCAGAACCAGGGGAGCACTCCTCTATGATGTCCAGGAGCCGGCCCTCCATCTGAGCTGTGGCCTGCACACAAACACCAGGTCAGTCCAACACAAACACAGGAGAAAAACAGGAGCAGCCTGGTGTGTGGCGTGAGCTCTTGGCATTGCTTCCCACACACTATGTTAAAACTAAGTGAGTAAATAAGTTTGTGCCACCATACTGTCTATATTTAATTTTTAAGCAATCATTTTTGACCAGTGCAGTTTCATTTATAAGTTTATCAAAAAACAGTGAGCAACAAAGTCTAATTTTGTTTTGCCAATATTTATTAGTCCATTTTATTTTAGACTATAGGGGCCACCATAGTCTCCTGTGTTCATGGGAAACACTGCTGTGTTTTGTCGACAGCGCTGTAAACTCTTGAGCTGGAAGGATGAAAGTCCTTGAAATGGTTTTCACTTCAACGTGTGCCATGTCAGGGCTCACTGGCCAAATGCCTCTAGAATCTAAAACAAACTTTTGATTGGTATTGTAGCATTTTTATGTGAAACAAAAACACAAAAAATGTCATTAACATAAAAAAAAAATTCCAAATTTGTAACTGGAAAGGTCTGTGAGTGAAAAATAATTCAGTTTTATGGGGTATGACTCCATAGTAAAATGAACTGAGAAAAGTGAGCTGGGGTCGGAGGTCAGAGGTCAGAGGTCGGAGGTCAGTACCTTGGGAAAGCGTTCTCTGTACACATGGTTCATCATGACGATTTCATTGTCAAAGGAGCCACACGTCCGGCCAGGGCTGAAACACAGAAACATGAGAGTTAGATTTATTCACGCACAAGTGAACACTGTCAACAAAGCAATGAAGTGTGTTTGGATGAGAACAGGAATCAGTTATGGAGGTTTTCTGCCTGGCTAGTCCCACTGCAGATCTGCTCCTCCCGGTCCATTCATTCTCTATGAGGATTTAGCTGAGTCACGCTGAAATAAATCAATATTTAAATATCAGGCAGCGAGCTGCAGCACTTCACAGGAGGAACCTTCTGTGCTTATAAAAGGAGGTATTCGTGTCTTGAAGCTAATGCTAACTGAAATTAAAATGAATTATTGGTGTTAAAATAGCACTACAATGAGAATTATCTTGCGTGCAAAAACAATGGACGTTTTTTGAATTCCTCTTTTGTGATTTAGATTAGGTTAGCACTGGGGCCGTTTGCAGCACAGTGTGAAGTGTCTGGAATGAAAATCAGCTCCTCCAAATCCAAGGCCCTGGTTCTCCACTGGAACTCCAGGTGGGTGAAGAGTCCCTGCTTCAGTGGAAGAGTTCAAGTATGTCAGATTTTGTTCATGCGTGATGGAAATATAGAGAGTGAGATTGACAGGCGGAGTGGTGCAGCATCTGCAGTGAAGCGTTCACTGTATCAGACCATTATGTGAAGAACAGCTGAGCATTGTGAGCGGAGTGTAAATGCTTGTCCCTACCCTCACCTACGGTTATGAGCTTTAGGCAAAGGCCAAAAGGACAAGATCGTGAACATAAACAGTTAAAATACTTTCTTAGAGATAGGGTGAGGAGCTCAGACACACAGGAGGAGCTCAGAGTAAAGCCGCTGCTCCTCCATGTCAAGAGGAGCAGCTGAGTCTTCTGGATGTGTCCTGGATGCCTCCTAGACCCCGGTGAAGACCCAGGACACACTGGAGGAACTATGTCTCTGGGCTGGCCTGTGAATGCCTTGTGGTCCCCTCGGCTACTCTGTACTCAAAATAAAGGACATGGGGGTGAATCATTTTACTGCAATACTGTGGAACATTCCAGGAAAAGCATTAACCTCTCCATGGTGACTAACCTCTTGACTTTTAGACTTCATGTTACGCTCTAGACTCTATAGTAAACTTTTCAACAGTCATATAACCGCTTGGCTTTTTGTAGCATTAACTGTGTAACTTATGTTTTGACATTCACAAAACACCAGCTCTCCCAGAAAAGCCACGTACTATCACTTACAACTACCAAAGACTTGTAGTCACCCATTGACATGACTTAAATGCATCTTCACAGCTCTTTCAAAGCTCTTTCACAGCTCCTAAATGCCTCTGTGTTGATCCTAAACATTTGAAAAAGAGCCATCACAGATCTGGTTCCTGTATCCCGTATCCATGACCGCATCTGTTGGAGCATGGGGGTTTGATTACACCTCGTCTGCGTTACAAATCACTCCTCTGTCATCGTCTGTTGAAAATAGTCCCTCTCCAGTGTTTTTTTTTTTACATGTCACACAAACACAGAACAATCCAAACATGTGAGGCCTGCACTATTTAAAACACACGCGTATGCTGCTATATACTATTTAGGTCTCAGGGGAAAGCTCCAGCCCTGGGGAAGAATTTGTAGGTCGTGCAAGACGACATTTAAGAGTAACTGATACCTTCCAGTTGTCTGCTGTAAAGGACAATATGTGTATGGGAAATGATTTATGTATTTGTAATGTCTGTTGACTTATTGGATTTAATTACGTTCAATATGGAGACTTGTAGTGATCTTTGCGGTTTTGTGTTGCAAGTGGTGTCATGATACTAAAATTTCAAACTTGATTCTTCTCGTTTTCATTTCTTACAGAAATGAGGAAAATGTCACAAATTTTCATCAAATCAAATCATGCTAATGTTTTCTGTATATTTCATTCCAGTTGCGTATGTGTTGGTGAACTACCACAGAATAGACTTGATACCGATTCTGATACCACAATGATCATTTAAAACACAGACAATAGAATGTGATTTTCAACATTAAATTGTAGAACTTCCTTTTATATTACCACGTGGTCTTATATTCGTGTAATCAGTCATCCAGTGTGGTCTATTACTAGTTCTGATGCAGCTCAAGATCATTCTAAAGTTATTCAGAAAATGTTTTGACAGCTCGGTAAGATTTGAGAACTTCTATGGCTCATTAGTGTTGCATTCTTCAATTTATTTATTGGATTTTAACAATTTTGTACATTTAGAATAGAATAGAATTTGGGGATTTAGGGTTATTGTGTCAGCGGCATCAATTTGTGAAAATATTTCTACTTATATTTACTTAAAACTATATATTTAACTTCAACATTTGGTGTTGTGACAGGTTCAGCAGTTCGTTTAGCAATAACACAGTTGAATAAAAGCGAGATTGACAAGTTAGTGTCAATCATTACAATCAAAGCAACAACATTTTTATGAAGACAAGAAAGTACCAGACCATCCACATGAAAACTAGTGCATATTTAAGTTGGCTAAAGTTCCTCATCTCAAGAGGCGCATCTGATTTACGAGCAGATGAAAAGTAGACAAGCGTGGAGCAGTGACAGAGACATGTTTCCACTTTATTTTGAGTGTGTGAACAAAAAACTACTACAAGTAAGAAACAGTAACTGCATTCAATTCAAAATTCTACTGCACCACATAACTATAATAAAGTAGACTTTAATGGGCACATTTTTAATATAAAAGGTGCATTGTGTAACTTTTCTGGTGGAGGCTCTGTCAAATGCTTTTCTCCATGGTCTACAGTATTTCACAGTTTGGTATTAGACCAGTTTATCATCATGGAGACCAAACCAGAACAAGTTACAGGTCGGATCTGTGGAGAGGCGACCCCGCTCACAGTCAGAATGCCTGTGTTTCTAGGTATTTTTGAGCTATAAAACCACCTGTAATTGAATAGATGTAAAGTAAAGCTGTTTAATGTCATACTATGGAACATTCTAGATAGACAATGACATATCCATAAAAGTGCACCTTTAATACTTATCATTCAGCAAATAAAAGTTGAAACAATACGTCTGACGTCAACATTTATCATGGGCACTTACTTTCTTTGTAATAACTTCTGTAACTCAGTGAAGATACAAAACAAGCAATAACAATTTTTGTTCTTTATTTAAATGTGACTCAAGTTTTGTTTTGTTTTTTTCCAACACAACTTTACAATTAGAATATATAAAACAGGTCCAGTCTTGTTTTAGCCTCACTACTTGTTTAGTTTGTCCTGTCCTTGATTTCTGTAACATTATTTTGAAGTGTCTTTGAGTTACCATGAAAAAGCTATATATAATAATAATAATAATAATAATAATAATAATATAATATAATTATTATTATTATTATTATTATTATTATTATTATTATTTTATTTTTTTATTGTTATTATTATTATTAGTGGCATAAATCAATTTCAAAATAAATCAAGTTATTTTGAAAGTTATTTTGAAAGTTATTTTCAAGACACTTGTTTTCGTGACACGCCTAACAGCAATTGCAATATTTCAAGTAAAACAGCCTTATATGTTAAGCTTTGTGGTCTCTTCTTTCAGTGACCCACAATTTCACCATATTTTGACACCACCCCAAAATAATGCAATACTTAATAGAGTTGTTTGACGTTCAAAACACTTTTAATTACACTGTGACCACAAATGAATAAAACATGCTATTCTAGTGTTTCACTTTGTGGCAGAAAAACTGAAATAAAACCAACCACATGACTGAGATGCCAACACCCTGGTCATAAACTAAACCACAAACTCTGCACTAACTCATTTACAGGCCTGGGACTGGAATGACAATGGCCCTATCCTGCAATGAGGACATGGATTCTAATCCAAGGGTTACTTAACTCTGAGAGACTGCTCCATGCAACCACAAAATAATTAACATGGTGCATACCCCTCAAAAAAGAACAGAAAATCAGATACTAATCAATACTAAAACTCATATTAAAACTAGATACTCATTTGAGCAGGTATCAGTACGAAAAAAGAAAAAAATTGAGCTGTATCAAAACAAGTATAAGATCAGGTAGATATAAGTTCCAAACAAAAGGTAAAAAGGTAGATGTTAACTTGAAAACTGCATTATGACATCACAAGGTGGAACAGAGCATGTGGAGCTTTGGGGTTGTAGACAGACTAATAATAAAGGATTACTCGAACATGTGTGATTGAAACAAAACAACTCCAGGTCTGTTTTTGAGGAGGTAAGAGTAAGAGAGGGCACTCCGGTTTCCCCCATCACCCCAAAACATGCTACAGGTCTCCATGAACAGTTGATAGTCAAGGTCAGTTAAATACAATCAATTTAATCATTGTGTGTCCTTAGGCAAAACACTTCACCCATATTGCCTAGTATGAAAGTGGTGTGTGTGTGAGTGATGGTGGTGGTCGGAGGGACCGATGGCGCCGAGTGGCATGGCAGCCACACTTCTGTCAGTGTGCCCCAGGGCAGCTGTGGCTACAATAGTAGTTTACCATCACCAGGGTACAGAGTGAATGAATAATGCTGAATAATGCTCTGTAAAGCGTCTTTGGGGACAGAAAATGTCTGTGAAAAGAGCTATATAAATAAAGACTTACTTACTTACAAGAGTCAATTTTGTGTAATATGGGACCTTTAGTGCTGGAAATCACATTATGTTGTTTAAAGAAAGAGCAGAATTCTAGTGAAACTGTAGTATCGTGACAACACTATACTCATGACTGTAATATTATAGACTTAAAGTAAAGAGAACAGTACTGAGCGTTCACAGGGGACAGAAGGAATTTTTCTTGGCTGGGCTCAGTGCAGATAAAGCAGATGGAGCATTTGGTTAGTCACACCACAGCAATAAGAATTAATGTATCTCTATAGGCAGAATTTAAGGTGAACGCAACCTTTCAGATGTTCTAAACAAGCTTAAAGAGTCTTAGTCCTCACGATTACTTCTGTTAGTGAAGGAACAGAAAATGTGTGAGCTGTGAAACCATTATAATCACTTTTTTCATGTATTAAAGAATAATTTATTTTTGTCCCCATACAGATATATTTTAAAAGTAGTTTTTGGGGTTCAAATGAGACTGCTGTGTGCTGCTGTCCATGTCTAACTATAAAGAATCATACTGAGCGCAAAGTAGGAAGTGCGGCGTTAGCATGCAAGTTGTTGTTAGTATTACCTCAGGTGGCCTTGGATGAGCAGGGGACTAGGATGGAAATTAGCTTCGGCAAGTATCCTTTTTTCTCTTTTGCATTATCTTGTCTTTTAATATGTATTGTCCTTTTAAAAATACATACAAATACAAAGTTTTAAGCTCTGGCTGCTGAAAATTGTAAAAAATGCTCATAGACTCAGGAGGAATAATTAGGATGCTAAGAATCCATTAGGAAAGTTAGCAAACTTTGGACTGTTTATAATAAAATAGTGCTGTTTTTTCCACATTTTTAAGACAGCAGAATCAGCTACTTCCCCTTTAACATTTTTTTCTGCTCTCCACAGTGTGCAGTGTCAAGCTCTTCCTGTTGTTTGTCTAATGATGATCAACCTCATACTGATTAAGATCATTTAATTAAGAGTTAATTGAAGTAAATGACTGCAACTCACCGCAGGGTCTAATGGACGCAGTAAAGAAAATTTGGTTTAATATTGGAGGGAGAAAATACAATTGAATCAGTGTTTAAGTCCTAAAAAAACTGTTCACACTCAGAGGTCTTTCACAACACAATCAGTACATGCATTTCTCTATTAAAACAACTGCACATTCCATCAGGTTTGTGAAGTTGTAGTGTAGTATATTTACTGGAAACTGTCATGAGGGAGCATGAGTGACGTAGGCTTGTGGGCTGAGCATTGGACCAGATCATACAGCTAACTGTAAGAAGAGTTTGAACAGGACCCAGGAGAGATTGTGAAATGACTCAAACATGCATGGATGACGTCTAAAACCATGGCAACCTTTTTGATGAGGAACAGTGTTATAGTATGTCAGAAAGCTCCAGGAAGTTGATTTGGCACAATACCCCCCCTTTAAGTGCTTTTCAGTCCCCTGTAGGTTTTAACCTCAACAGTCTGTCTTACTGTTACAGACTGTCTGATTGTGTGAAATAAGCCATTTGTATTTCCTGTTTCCATGGAAAGTGTCAAAGAGGCGAGCTAAGAAGGACCTCCGAGATACTACAGTAAATGTGGCAGAAGACCTTCCAGAGGAATTACTTTGAAAGAATGGAGCATTTCATCACCAACTGAAACAAAAAAGTGGAGCGAGAGTGAGAGGGTTCATCTGGTTCCCCTTGGATCCTGCTGTGATGCTGCAGGACACAGAGGGCTGTTCCTCTCCTCAAACTACCCTGACACAAATCTGCTGACCAAGTCTGACCAGTCCTCCTGTTAAACTGCACTCAGACACAAAGGTCACTGAGAAGCACAGTATGTACCTGCAGCTAAACTTGAACTTCCCTCTGGATCATTAAAGTATCTCTCTCTGGCTCTCTCTTGTCTCGTCAGTGGTGTACCTGAGACTCCTGGAGCGGACCCTCTGCGCGGGCACACAGGGGTGGGACGGGTCCTCGTCCGCCACGCTCTCGGTGCTGCGGAAGTGTTTAAACAGGAAGTGCAGGTCGTCCTGTGTGGGCTGGAAGGGCAGCTGGTGTAAAAGCTCCTGGGATGACGATGACTAAACAGAAACACACAAGAGACAAGAGGGAGAGGGGAGTTAGTTCCGAGACATAAACAGTAAAAAATGCTTGACAGATCTAATGTTAAAGAGCCTATCTCACTCTACTTTCTCATCTATGTTATAATGTAGTTTCCTCATCACAAACAGACCTGGAGTTGTTTTTTTGTTTCATTCTTACATGTTTAACACACAAACCTGCATATTTAGACTTCTCTCAAACAGAAAACACTCTGTTCCTCCATGTCATGTCATGTGGTAATACAGGAAGTTCTCCACTGTATTTTTAAACTCCACACACTTTCACTAGAGTTATTTAAATGACTTCTAGTCTCTACTGAAAGGAAACTGTTAACATGAAAACTACTGCTTCATGACATCACATGAAGTCATGATTTCATTTTGTGTAATACAGGACCTTTAAATGTTTATGCCAGATGCCCTTGCAGTCAGAGAGTGGACAATGTCGGTGATGTGGTCTTGCTTAGAAACACAATACGGGTAAACGCTTCAGTGGGATTCAAACAAGGAATCTACTGGTGGGTGGGTGAACACTTAACTCACTGTGCCACTCTCATCCTTGATTTGACTGTCAAACTTTTCAGAGCGTCTTCCAAGATAACAATGATATTTTACAATCTTATAAAAAATATATAACATATATATACATATATAAAATAAAAAAAAATAAAAAATTGTAGGGCTGTTTTATTCCTAACCAGCTCTAAATACTTCTCTTCATAAATAGGACCCCAAATTACAAAACTCTGCTCTGCTCAGCTGCTAGAGGACTGACATAGAGTCTCTCACGTAGAGCAGGTGCTAATGTGCCACTTTCACCTCACTGAAATGTTTCCTACGTATGTTTACACACAACACACAACACACAACACACAACACACAACACACAACACAGGTGATGGGAGGTTTCTGGGAAAAATGTGTTTGGTTTGAGCTATTTCATTAAACTGGGAGTAAACACCTAAACTCTGCCACAACCACGTTTCAGACAGAGCTGCTAAAGTGGACACGACCTGGAGGACTAAAGGGGAGAGAGACAGGACAGGAGGGGCGGGGTCTGGTGGTATAAGGTCTAACAGGTATCCACACTTCAAACTCCACCTCTACACTAAACATTTGTAATCTGAAACACCCGGCTGTAATCAGGGCAGTCTGAAACTGCAATGGTCACTGGAGGACACACACATTTTTATACATTTTAGACCACAAACCTGAACATTTACCTAGTTTGCACTAAATATCACAAGGAACAAAACAATTGGATTTCATTTTGAGTTACACTTGATCAAAAATGTATTCTTAAGAGTCTGTGTTTGAATTTGAACCACGAGTGAAAAACATGTTTCAAAATGCCCTAGTTACAAACAGTTGTTTATTGCACAACCAACTCATCCAACAATATGTCTGATTACATAAAAGCTCCAATCAAACACTGAGACACACTGGACTACATTCATACAATACTCCCTACAACTGTACAACAACTCACCCTTATGTAACAGATAATACTCCCTACAACTGTACAACAACTCACCCTTATGTAACAGATAATACTCCCTACAACTGTACAACAACTCACCCTTATGTAACAGATAATACTCCCTACAACTGTACAACAACTCACCCTTATGTAACAGATAATACTCCCTACAACTGTACAACAACTCACCCTTATGTAACAGATAATACTCCCTACAACTGTACAACAACTCACCCTTATGTAACAGATAATACTCCCTACAACTGTACAACAACTCACCCTTATGTAACAGATAATACTCCCTACACTGTACAACAACTCACCCTTATGTAACAGATAATACTCCCTACAACTGTACAACAACTCACCCTTATGTAACAGATAATACTCCCTACAACTGTACAACGACTCACCCTTATGTAACATATAATACTCCCTACAACTGTACAACGACTCATCCTTATGTAACAGATAATACTCCCTACAACTGTACAACAACTCACCCTTATGTAACAGATAATACTCCCTACAACTGTACAACAACTCACCCTTATGTAGCAGATAACACTCCCTACAACTGTACAACAACTCACCCTTATGTAACAGATAATACTCCCTACAACTGTACAACAACTCACCCTTATGTAACAGATAATACTCCCTACAACTGTACAACAACTCACCCTTATGTAACAGATAATACTCCCTACAACTGTACAACAACTCACCCTTATGTAGCAGATAACACTCCCTACAACTGTACAACAACTCACCCTTATGTAACAGATAATACTCCCTACAACTGTACAACAACTCACCCTTATGTAACAGATAATACTCCCTACAACTGTACAACTCACCCTCATGTCACAGATAATACTCCCTACAACTGTACGACTCACCCTCATGTAACAGATAATACTCCCTACAACTGTACAACGACTCACCCTTATGTAACATATAATACTCCCTACAACTGTACAACGACTCATCCTTATGTAACAAATAATACTCCCTACAACTGTACAACAACTCACCCTCATGTAACAGATAATACTCCCTACAACGGTACAACAACTCACCCTCATGTAACAGATAATACTCCCTACAACTGTACAACAACACACCATATGTAACAGATAATACTCCCCACAACTGTACAACAACTCACCCTCATGTAACAGATAATACTCCCTACAACTGCACAACTCACCCTTATGTAACAGATAATACTCCCTACAACTGCACAACTCACCCTCATGTAACAGATAATACTCCCTACAACTGCACAACTCACCCTCATGTAACAGATAACCCTGTGACTTGTACAAAGCTGAGATTTTATATTTTATGACTTATTTTTCTATTTTATTTTGACTTGTAAATTTACATTTATATAATTATGTTTTATTTGACTCCTGTCTCTTGCTCTTTTTGCTGCTTATTTAGAATTTATTATTACCATTTATATTTTTGCTATATTGCTTTGTTATTATATTATATTGTGATGTGTGAGCTCCTGTGTTCAAAAAATGTCCCTTGTGGATCAATAAAGTTTGTCTCAGTCTAAGTTCCCTTATGGTTCTCATAGAATAAAATGACTTTTAAATATCATTCTGTCTCTGATTTTCCCCCCACAAATAGCTGCTTTTATAATAAACTGTATAGAGGAGTTTCCTGGACGTGTTAGGAATCACCCCAACTTTTAATTGTCAACCACTGTACTACTGAAGGCCATGTTGGACACTAAATGTTTGGAGTAAGAGAGCACTTAATAAATAAAATATATCCAGTTTAGTTCTATAGCACATTTCATAAACATTTCCAAAGTGCTGTACATAGAAAAAAAAAAAAAAAATACAATTAAATACAATAAAAACTTAAAAACAAATAAATAAAACCTTAAAAAACAGACCCATAAGGATAAATAAATTAAATCAATAAAACTAAGCAATAAAAGACAAAAGAGGACCACCCAACTCACGCGGTGTTAAATGCCCGAGAGTAAAAGTGGGTCTCATAACAAAAGATCCTTCACCCAAACAGAAGTGAGTGATGGGAAATATAGAACACAGAAGCGCCCAAGGAGGAAACTGGAGACTGGACTGAGGCTCGAACGTCAACAAAGACCCCAGTGACACACGCCTCAAAGCTCCATTGTGTAACAGAGCTGACCTCACCATCTCAAAGTCATCTCCACGACACAGGCTCAGCTTCACCTTCCAGATAATCGCCATGGAAACCGTCAACGGCAGCTAGCTACCCTGCGGTGCTACGTAACCTTGCATGCTCTGAGCCTGTGCCGGGGAAAGTTCAGAGCGGTCCAGACTTGGTGATGTCATTCAGGAAAAAAAAACAGAATTAGCGGCTCTGTGTTGTTTTAATGATTAGCCTGATGAGTGCTTCTGGACTTTCCCTCGCTCAAATGGGACAAAAACAACTCAAGTCTGGAGACGTTTAAAGATTTATTATGGATGTCACAATACAAGACGTGAGGAAGTGTGCGCCACGATTCACACGATCACGTTTGACTACCACGTATGCTTGCCTGAGCAAATATCAGACTCTAGGATCAGTGTGGTGGTTAAGTCACTGTAGTCCAGCCAAATGAAGCTCACCGAGACTAGCAATTATAGGGGGAATTCCGACCTTGAAGATCATAGCAACCAAAAGCTGTAGGGCTGTTGAAGGTAATGCCCCGTCCCGTCCGCACCACTGGTTTAGCAGGGAGCGGGCGCTTAGCAACGCTGTCAATCAAACCTGTTATCAACAATAGGGGGAGAGACCCTGATTTGTCCGTTATTAATGTTCATATCTTGATTGATGAACAAATTAGCAAAATTAAATAAAAAAAACAGGATCATGTAGAGCGGGTTAATACGAACATTTTAAGACCAAAATGAGGAGCCTGACAGCAGCAGGTACAGAGAGAAGAGTGATTTCAATAGAAAGTGAACTGGAGCTAGGTACAGTGGAGTATGTCCATTTATATATAACATTTTTTCCGGACTATAAGTCGCTCCGGAGTACAAGTCGCACCAGCCAAAAAATGCGTAATGAAGAATAAAAAAACATAAGTCGCACTTTTTGGGGGAAAATTATTTTAAAAAATCAGGGACCAGGAACCGACATTTTATCTTGAAAGGCAAGTTCCAGTAATAACAGTAGAGTAAAGAACAACAGGCTGAATAGGCGTCCGGTCTGTTAATGTAACATATTAACAATTATTCAGATAACTATAGCATAAACAACAGAACATAAGTTTCGCAAACTCTCCATCTCACTCCAAATCACTAAATCCATTGAATCCATTGAATTCTTCATCCTCTGTGTCACTTCTGAGCAACTCTGTGCAACTTCAGAAGTCCATACTTTGTCATCCAATGATTTTGAGGAAAGTTGCATGGTGCACCTGCCTGGTTGCCGTGAAGCTGTGTTCTCCATCCCCGCTTTCCAGCAGTCCCTCACAAGTTTTTCTCACAAACTTTCTTTCTGCTGC